CCTCTTAGCGCGGCTGTCCTCCTCATTCCAAGGGCTGTTCCTCTTCACTAGGCTGCACTTCCACCGCTGGCTCGTGTTGTGGTAATGAATTATTAAGACGAATACAGCCATGAACTCAAGGCCTGCGGGTAGTCTCTTCTCGTTGCTTCGCTTAAACTTCCATTTTTATTTATATATTTATTTATGTTTTTTTGTCTTTTCTTATTTTCACTTTCCTTCTTTCTTTGTCTCTCTTTAATATACTTGCTTCTTACGGCTTTGTAGAATGTCTGTATGTTTCGTCTATTCTGTCTGGCTGTCAGTCTGTTTCTCTCTCTCTGTCCCTGTCTGTCTCTCTGTCTGACTTTCTTCTCTCTCTCTCTCTCTTTCTCTCTCTCTCTCTCTCTCTCTCTCTCTCTCTCTCTCTCTCTCTCTCTCTCTCTCTCTCTCTCTCTCTCTCTCTCTCTCTCTCTCTCTCTCTCTCTCTCTCTCTCCCTGTAAAAGGTATAGATGCCCCCGATACATTGGTTATGACTGGCTGGGCAGTGATAGTGGTTATGATGGACGTAACTCTTTATTGACTCTCTCTCTCTCTCTCTCTCTCTCTCTCTCTCTCCTCTCTCTCTCTCTCTCTCTCTCTCTCTCTCTCTTCCTCGCTTTTCTCTCTCTCTCTCTCTCTCTCTCTCTCTCTCTCTCTCTCTTCCTCGCTTTCTCTCTCTCTCTCTCTCTCTCTCTCTCTCTCTCTTCCTCGCTTTCTCTCTCTCTCTCTCTCTCTCTCTCTCTCTCTCTCTCTCTCTCTCTCTCTCTCTCTCTCTTCCTCGCTTTCTCTCTCTCTCTCTCTCTCTCTCTCTCTCTCTCTCTCTCATTCTCTCTCTCTCTCATTGGTTATGACTGGCTGGGTAGTGATAGTGGTTATGATGGACGGAACTCTTTATTGACTCTCACTCTTTCTCTCTCTCTCTCTCTCTCTCTCTCTCTCTCTCTCTCTCTCTCTCTCTCTCTCTCTCTCTCTCTCTCTCTCTTCCTCGCTCTCTCTCTGTGTGTCTCTCTCTCTCATTTCTGTTTATCAATAAAGCTAGCTCTTCCTTCCTTTTCTCTTCCGTTTATCCCCGTCCCTTCTTCCCCCTCCTTCCGTCATCCCAAATTTCTTTCTTTCCAGCATCATTCCCTCCTCCTCTTTTCACATCTTTTTCACTTCTTATCTCTTCTCCCTTCTTGCTATTTTTTTCTTCTCTTTGTTTTCCTCCAAATTATCAAAGGTATTTTCTTCCATCTTTATACTTCGTTATTTTTGTTTTCCGTGATCACATTTTTTTCATATTAATTCAACTATTTTCTCATCCTTTTCTCTCTTCCTTTCTTCTTCCTCATTGTAAATTGATTGCCCATTTTCTCAGGGTTTTTTTTTCGAATCTTTATGTTTCTCCTTCTCTTTGTCTATCCTTCTTCTTATTCTTTAAATACCCTCTCTTCCTCTCTCCATCTATCCCTCTTCCCAACTTCTCCCCTTTCTTCTTCTTCTTCTCTTCTTCTCTCCATCTTTATCCGTCCTCCCTTCTTCTCTCCAAATCTATCCTTCCCCCCTCCTTCTTCCTCATCTTTATCCCTCCTCTCTTCTCCACATCTATATCATTTCCTCTCTCTTTTCTTCCATCTTTATCGTTTTTACCTTCTTTTCCCCGTCTGTATCATCCCTTCATTTTTTACCCATCTTTATCATTCCTTCCTCTTTCTCCCCATCTTTATCATTTATCCCTTCTTCTCCTCCTTTTTATCAGTCCTCCCTCCTTCTCCCCATCTTTATCATTCCTCCCTCCTTCTCCTCATCTTTATCATTCTTCCCTCCTTCTCCCAATCTTTATCATTTCCCTCTCAACCTCCTTATCCCCGTCTTTATCATTCCTCCTTTCTCCCCATCTTTATCATTCCTTCCTTCTTATCCCCATCTTTATCATACCCCCTTTCTCCCCATCTTTATCATACCTCCCTCCTTATCCCCATCTTTATCATTCCTCCCTCCTTCTCTCCATCTTTATCCTTTCTCCCTCCTCTCCATCTTTACCATTTTCCCTCCTTATCCCCATCTTTATCACTCCTTTCTTCCCATCTTTATCATTCCTCCTTCCTTCTCTCCATCTTTATCACCCCCCCCCCCCCCCCCCCGTCCTTCTCCCTCCTCTCCATCTTTACCATTTTCCCTCCTTATCCCCATCTTTATCACTCCTTTCTTCCCATCTTTATCATTCCTCCTTCCTTCTCTCCATCTTATCACCCCCCCCCCCCCCCCCCCGCTCCTTATCCTTCCTCCCTCCTTATCTCCATCTTTATCACTCCTCCTTTCTTCCCATCTTTATCATTCCTCGCTCCTTCTCTCCGTCTTTATCATTCCTCCCTCCTTCTCCCCATCTTTATCATTCCTTCCTCCTTATCCCCATCTTTATCATTCCTCGCTCCTTCTCCCCATCTTTATCATTCCTCCCTCCTTATCCCCATCTTTATCTTTCCTCCCTCCTTCTCCCCATCTTTATTATTCCTCCTTTCTTCCCATCTCTATCATTCCTCCCTCCTTATCCCCATCTTTATCAGCCTCCCCTCCTCCCCCCCATCTTTATCATTTCTCCCTCCTCTCCGTCTTTATCATTCTTCCCTCCTAATTCCCATCTTTATCACCCCCCCTCCTTATCATTCCTCCTTCCCTATCCCCATCTTTATCATTCCTCCCTCCTTCTCCCCATCTTTATCATTCCTCCCTCCTTCTTCCCATCTTTATCACTCCTTTCTTCCCATCACATTTCCCTCTCAACCTCTTAATATCTCGCCTGCAGACCAACAGAACTCAAAGTCTGCCCCCTCCCCCCATCTTTCTTTTTTTTCTCTCTTTTTTTTCATTTTTATTATTTTTTTCAGAAGATGCGGAGGACTTGGCTGTCATTAAAGCACGGTTCGGGGAGCCTCTTCGTTCACGCTGATAATGCGGATTTTTTTTATTTTTATTTTTTATTTCTTATTTCTTACTTATTTTTTTTTTTTACTTTTTTTTTAATTTTTTTATTACGAGCCATTATGGTTACCGGATCAGTTGGTTTTGGCGATCAGGAATTTAGGACGGGTGGTCTCTCTCTCTCTCTGTCTCGTTGTCTCTCTCTTTTTTCTCTCTTCTCTCTCTCTTCTCTCTCTCTCTCTCTCTCTCTCTCTCTCTCTCTCTCTCTCTCTCTTTCGTCCTTTCTTCTTGTCCTCTTCCTTATCCCTTTTCTTTTCCATTTTTGTCAGCGTAAAACCTCGGTCTTCGTCAATTTTATTACCCTCTCCTTCCTCTTAATCTCTCTCCCTTTCTCTCTCTCTCTCTTTTTCTCTCTCTGTCTCTGTCTCTGTCTCTCTCTCTCTCTTTCTCTCTCTCTCTCTCTCTCTCTCTCTCTCTCTCTCTCTCTCTCTCTCTCTCTCTCTCTCTCTCTCTCTCTCTCTCTCTCCCTCCCTCCCTCTCTCTCTCTCTCTCTCTCTCTTTCGTCCTTTCTTCTTGTCCTCTTCCTTATCCCTTTTCTTTTCCATTTTTGTCAGCGTAAAACCTCGGTCTTCGTCAATTTTATTACCCTCTCCTTCCTCTTAATCTCTCTCCCTTTCTCTCTCTCTCTCTGTCTCTGTCTCTCTCTCTCTCTCTCTCTCTCTCTCTCTGTCTCTCTCTCTCTCTTTCTCTCTCTCTCTCTCTCTCTCTCTCCCTCCCTCCCTCCCTCTCTCTCTCTCTCTCTCTCTCTCTCCTTCTCTCTCTTTCTCTCCCCCCCCCTCTCTCTCTCTCTCTATCTCTCTCTCTCTCCCTCTCTCTCTCTCTCTCTCTCTCTCCCCCCCCCTTTCTCTCTCTCTCGCACAGGACCACTTTCCTTTTCATTCGAAAGGTTCCCAGGCTTCTAAATGAATATATTTTAGTATCAGTGAGGAAAAAAATGAAAGGGGAAGACGAGGTAGGGGATTGAAGGTGTATGGGGGGGGGGGGAGAGGAGAATCCAACACCCCACTGTGACACATTCTATTTCTCATTCTACAAATTCCGTTTTTTTTGTGTGTGTGTTTCTCTTCTTCATTTCTTTTTTTCTTTCTTTCTTTTATTATCGGCATCTTCACCAGGTCAAGTTTTTTTCATTCAGTATGGCCTCCTCCCCCTCACAACGTCCTGCCTGTTGTTCACGCTTTAATATTAGTCTCTGTTGTTGACTGTAACCTCTTATACCACCTCGCTTTATCGTACAGGCAGATAGAGGCGTTTTTACTGTGTGTTATGTTGCATTTTTCATACTTACGTGTCTTTCATCTTTGTTTCTTGATCTTTGCGCAACAGGATTTCCGATTTCTGCAACGAGAGTCTGATTAGATAGATAGAGAGATAGATATATAGAAAGATAGACAGATGGTTAGGTAGACAGAAAGATTGGGAAAGCGAGAGGGAGAGAGAGAGAGAGAGAGAGAGAGAGAGAGAGAGAGAGAGAGAGAGAGAGAGAGAGAGAGAGAGAGAGAGAGAGAGAGAGAGAGAG